CTATGATCAATCATTCTTGAGTTGGTGTATCAGGTCGGAGACAATACTTGAATGTGTACCATGAGAGAAGGCAATCATGCTCGATAGAGTATCACGACCTACCATCCACACGTATGGCACTCTTGTTCACTTGTAATGTCTATCTCATCTCCGTCATCGGCTTCCCCTCAGTCGCACCATAGTGCCATGGAACGGAGAGTACCAGCTTCAGGTGCTTCACTGGGGTTGGATCCTGCCTCATCACCCTCTCCGCTTCTCCGAGGCCGGAACCAAACATTGCCGCATTTTGAAGAGTCTCCGATGCCTACGATCTCTCTTATTTGAGGGGTACCTTTTCGTATGGGATGGTTGAGTGTTGGGGAAATTTTGAGGGGCTACATTGCGTCCCATCGTAGTACCAGTGGTTGGGGTGGATGTCAACCAAAACACCAAACCACACACGAACACACGAACACGCTTGAGATCAGTCCCGAAGAATGAGGAAATGCAGGGTGAGAGTATAAAACACGGCATATCCCCTTTTAGAGTCTCTCGTCCGCAGACACTTCGACAGCAATCTACCATCTTCGACTTCGATAAAAAAAATCTCAAAGTACGATCTCTCCTCTTCTTACATCCCATTCATCACTTCAAGCAAAAACAACTAACACATCCCCAGTCACCACCAACAAAACGTACTACCTCCCCTTTCTACCACTCCATCACCCCACCTAACACTCCCCTCTCAGCAACCCAACCCAACCACAACAATGCAATTCACAACCATCTTCGGCGCCACCATGGCCCTCTTCGCAGGCGTTACCTTCGGCACCATGGAAACCACCGCTTTTATCGAGCCTAAGGTAACCCATCGCATCGATACCGTCACCGTTACCGCTGCTCCCTACGCCGCATAGACATGTCTACCTCCTGGTACCTGTCCGTAGCATCTTGGTTGCAATAAGATGATTGGGGTTACGATAGGAAAAGGCCGGTCAGAGGTCCTACGGCGAGTTTTTCTTGTGGGTAGATGTGTCTGACTGGTTGAGATTAGGATGCTGAAAGGTCCGGGAAAAGTAGATGGGGGATGGGATTCAATTCCATGTCTTACTGTCTAATCCTCTTTTCTCTGCTTGTTGTGTGATCTGTGATGTCAACTGGTGAACATGAAACATGATGCTAACATGAGATGCGCCTTCAGACCCCAGAATACCTGGTGTACTAATGCGAAGAAGTGGTTTGAGAACGAGGTGAAATTGGTTCACATATTATCATTATGTTATGGACACAGCTAACCGACCTCCATCCCACACACCACCATTTCAAGCCGTCGCATCGTCACCAAAAGCTAGTTGCATTCTCCGTGCATGCGCAGCTCTTCGCTTAGCCTGTGCCGACATGGGCTTCTTCTGCGCATCTCCGTTCTGGCTTCCGTTGGAAGGCGCTGGGAGATTTTCTGCCTGTACTGGAACAGACGGAACTGGAGGAGGTATCTCTACTTGAACTGGGACTGATGAGGTAGTGGGTGGTACCTCCACGCGCAACTCTTGTTTCGGAGTGGGAATTGATTGCTCGTGCAATACGGGTGGTGAAAGTATGGTTTGTTGCGTATCCGTTATTGGTTGCGCCGCTTCTGCTGTGGAAGCCTGTCGCACTAAGTCTTCAGCCATCGTCTTGACGACTTTGTGGCTACGAAGTCGTTGCTGAAGGACGGAGAGCACGACATCGTCATCGTCTAGTTCCACCGGCGTCTCTGTTGCGCTGGCCAGTATGGGTTGCGAAGTTTCCGGGGTGATGATCTGGAGCGGCGGTGGTGGTGGTGGATAAGACGGTGCAGTTACCGGAAGGGTAGTCGCCTCCTCCTCCGTACCAGGTGTTGTTGTAGTTTCGGCGACCGTGGTAATTGTGGGTGACGGTGTAGCGTTAAAGGATCTGCTACTTGACGTTTGCGACAGCCTCTTCGACATGCGTTGTGACGGCCGCTGGCTACTCGGGCGACGAACTGGCTCGTCGTCGGTGAAAGTGGTAACGTTCACAAGAGCACTGGGCGATCGCAAAGTGTGTATAGACGTTGCATAGTGAGACATAGGCGACGATGTACGCTCCGCAGAGGCAAAGCTATTTCGTCGCAGACTCGAGTTCTCCTCATACATCGACGGCACATCCGAATCCCCCTTCTCATGTTGTGGTGGTTGCGCAAGGCCTTCGCTACTTGGAGGAAGCTGGCGGGGCGATGGCTGAGCTGCAGTAGTTTTGGTCGCGATGTTAGATAGACCATCTGCCATCGCATTCGTCATGGGTGTCGCCTCGGGGACTACAGGTAACGTATGACCGGTTGTTGGGGTCGACGTCACCGAGATCGATGGAATAGAAATTGTTGGACTGTTTGGCCATTCTCTACTCGGCAGCCTCTCACTCGCCGCACTAGGCATCACATAGTCCGCCAAATCATCGATAAGTGACGGCTGGCTCTTGAGATGAGGGAGCTCCGATGGCAAAGACCTGTGCTTTTCGCTATGCCTTTGGATGTCTATCGATGTGGCTCGATACCGTCTCGCTACCATGGGAACGCTGACCGTAGCTTGTGTGGACAGAGTGGAGTCGGTGCGCTCGATTGTTGCATCGCCAGTATTCGAGGAGGAAGGAGCGACATCGATGGAGGCGCGAGGTCTTGGTTCCCGAAGGACGGATTGTCGGGAGTAGTCTGAGCGTGCTCGTGGTCGTCTGGACAGTGTCGAACTTTCAGTACTGGATTCGCGAGATACCTGAGGGCTCAGGAAGCTCTGTGAGGTTTGCCTCTCCTCGATGTCCAAGTCAGCCGGCGTACTACCAGCCAGCTCTACAGGCACCGAATTGATACTACCCGCTAAAGGTTGTTAGTTGGACTGAACTTTTGTCTGTCCTGGATGATACTCACTTTCGACGTCGTCTTTTTCAGCTTCAGACGCCAGTGTAATATTTGATGCGGAGACGTTCGCCTGGTTTGTTCGGTATTTCTGCCTCGAATAAGGTCCACGTAGCGCGTCTTTCTCATCATGAGGTACCCAAGGTCGCACCGGAGCCTCGAAAATGGGTGTTTCTGCGATAGCACCAGGCTTCCCACAGAGTTCTGCCGTTTGCATGACGTAGATAGCACCAGTCAACTGAGCGTGACACTGATCTAACAGCTGCTTCTTTTTCAGAATTTTTTTCTGGTTTCTTAGACCCCACTCAAGCTTGAGCTTCGATGCAGCTGTGCCGCCATCTCCATCATGGCCCCAGGCTTTGTCCATATCCATGCCGATCTCGTTAAGAGCACGCCGCACCTCGAGCAAAGAAGTCTCGATCCATCTCCGTTTATTTGGATAAGCATCCAGGAAATTCGAAACCGCAGATGAGATGAAAAGGCGCGTCGCCTCATCGATATCTTGTCGCACTTGTTGGATGATGCTCACGAAAGCGATGGTATCCGCAGAAGCCCTCTCGGTGGTGAGGACATAGTCCGCAAAGTAGTAGGTAGTCGGTATCGCTGGAAAGTCGCATAAGATGTCATCGGGCGTTTCCCTCGGAATAGCAGTTGACGGCCGCCGGTCCTCAGAGTTCCTAGGCTCCTGCTTCGGCCGTCCAATCTTGCGTTGGAAGTACTTCAGCCTCGTTCCTTCGGTCTCCGTAGGCGCTTGTGTGGGGAGGTCAGCCCGATGCAGTGTTTCCGGTAAGAACAAGCCAGCAGTGGGCAACATCGAAGTCAACGTTGGCATGAGCGTCGTTCGTATTACTTCAAGCTGATTGTACTATTGCTGTACAGAGTCTGGAAGTAGCTGGTAGCGCGCATGGGCTAAACAATGATAGCAGGCGACATGCGCCAGGTACACCAGGACAAACCCCGCAGAAAATGACGCAGTACTTGCTCGAAATAGGCACAGCCGGTGCGGATGTGCTGGTGTTCCAGTTTCGTGTGTCGGACTGTCCGATGGAAGTATTTGCTAACAGCTACACATGAGGTAGCTATCAGTCGATCACGGCACCGATGTAGCGGTAAAGTGTTGGTTGGGGGTGCAGAACAACAACTCAGCCGCGGGCACCATACCGCAGAGTCATGCAGCGTTGTCGTCTCACGCCGCACAGCATAATCATGCCAATATGCATGGGACGTCGCCGGATTTGGTATAAATTACTCATAGGGTACTGGTATTCGATCAAAACCTCGCTATTGGGCTACGCCGCAAGGATGCTGATTGCATGACTACGCCCCCATGGGGGCCAAAACGCATTCCATATTGGCCCCCATGCGCAAGATGCGGGCTCGGAAGAGGGAAGCGAGATCAGGCTAGGAGTTGGTCTAGCCGATTGGCCGTTGCGCGTAAGCCTTCGCATCTCGAACGTGGTGAATGACCCTCTTGATCGCAGGTGCAAGCGTCGTAGCCTATCGCTTTCTCCTGTTCGGCGACGAAATGAAGATGTAAGCACCATTCTAAGCTCAAATTCATTCGATAGCAATGTGGCCATCACTGTGACAGCGTGACACCTAGAGGCCCCCGCAACATGAAACTTCTTGAAGGTGGCACAGGTTCTGCCTGTGAGCACAGTCGTACGCGAGGGTCTCCTTGCATGAGCCACCGACTCATGCATCCAACCGTCTCACTACAGCCTCGCTGAAAGGCCGCGGCGGACTGACTGGATTACCAGCCTCGTCCGCTACTTGCACAAGAGCGGGGAAAATGCACAAGTCCCCTGACGTGACACCTTGTTCCTCCTGCCACTCGAATTCCCATGCGCTAGGCTGAGAAAACAGCGTGAAAGCGAAAAGCGCAGCCCGCTTCAGTACTTCCTCAAGGTTCCGCTTGCGCTCTCCATTGTTCATGCGAGAGTCCGCGTATGGCTGCAGAACGTTGTCTAATGTTGCAAGCGTTGCCTGTATACTTGCATGTCGACTGTCGGAAGGACCGAAGGGATTGCGAATGTAGCTAGCCTGCATCAACTCTGCAGTCATGACCCGCCAGCGCGCCATCAATGATGTTTGACCTGTACAAAAGTCAGTACTTCTACACTAGGAGACGAAGGAACTCGTGCCGCATACCTTGATAGCCACGATCTCCAGTTGCGACAGCTTGGTAACATTGCGCGACTTCGGACGGCAAGAGGCTCTTTGAGGGATCTTTGGAGGGTTGAAGTTTCGAGACGATCACCCAGGCGATGATGAATCTTAGCGCAATCTCTCGGGTTGCAGCATTTCCAATCAATGTAGTGAGCGTTCCTACCGAGACTGGTAGACCTGGTCCTAGTGCGTGTAGGTCCTCATAATCTATGAGACCAGGGTTGACACGGTTGGTGTGGTAGTAACTCTGGACGTGATTCTTGATGGCATTGCTTATTTTCGAGACATCGCCAGAGATGGCTTTGTCTTCCAAAGGCTGAGGAAGTCCCCCACCCAAAGCAGCTACAGATGATCGTTTTCCGGCTAACGGTATAGTGTTGGCGGAGAACCCTTTCTCCTGCGAAGCTAACGCATACGTATCTGGTTGAGGATAATGATTCTTTGACTGTCTTTTTTTGCGCCAGCAGAACCACAGGATGATTCCAGCGAGCAAGGCACCGGCAAAAAGGCAGCCGATTGCGATGCCGGCGATGGCACCTGTCGAAAGCCCTGGGTCTTTACTTTGAGGTAGAACAGCGACACCTGGTGGTGAGGAAGCAGAGTTCGTTGGCGTGGTGCCAGTTGCCGGAGGGTTTGTTGGAGCAGGCGTCACTGCCAAACTTGTCGGAGCAGGTACATTCGGGCTTGGAGATAGTGTAGATGTTGCGGTCTGAGCGGGAACTGATGGCGACCTTTGGAAAACAATGTCTGATCCCTTTGGGTCGAGCGAAATAAGAATTCCGTCGACCGTTGCGGTTGCACCGGGCCCTAAAGTTTGCGGGATCGGTGACTGGCTTCCTGGCAGACCCACGACTGAGGACCAGACAAAACCTTTCCCAGGAGGAAGAAGAACCTGTATTGTCGCGACTGGCGCCCCGTCCAATTGTAACGGGAGAGCATACGCTGTCGCGGCAGGAGCCTCAGGAGGAGTGGTGATGTTTACATGGACCCAGCTGGAGCTGGGCGTGTGCTGATTTTGATCCGTCATTCCGAAGATGAGTTGTTGTGCTCCGTATGTAAGACCGCCCGCCTCTTGTCAATTGGGCTTTCGCAGAGAAAACGGAGATTCTAGTACGAGAATGATGAATAGAGAGGTAGAAGAGGTCCCAGTAAGATCTCGGGTGTTTGAGCAACTTGGGCGAAGTTAGCCTGTCATGTGGGAATCGTAGAGAGTTTTAGCGATTACCGGCTGTGCTGTACCACGGCCTATGTTGCAGCCACTAAAGAGGGGTGTCTCCTCGTTTGGCGCTGGCAATAATGTAAGTCCTATCACCGTTCCTCCCGAATAATGCAAGCGAAACGGACTGAGACGGAAAGGTAGATAGTTTAGCCAACCATCCGGTCTTGTGCAGTCTCCCTGAAGTGCCTCGTTGCGGCCCCCAAGGCGCACTCGGCATGCATAAAAGGCGTATTCTTAGGCTCAAAATACATGGGGGCCGAAATGGCGCGTGTTGTGATCGGTCGAAAAGATGCTGTGCCGCAAGGCTGAGACATAGGGGCCGCCTCAAGGCACCTGCATCGTCTCCGCATCTTATAGATACGTGATCAGGCGGGAAGGCAACAACAAAGACCGCGTCACCGACAACAAGACAAGATGGAGCGAAACGAGCGACCGCATATGGTTGTGGGTGTAGACCTTGGGATGACATGTAAGTTCTGGCGAGGCTGAGGAATGACACGTGGGGAGGCGATTCCCAATTGGGATTAGTGTGCTGCGTTGGATCACGTGTTCTTCATCACACCATCCCAAGGCTGATACATCTCTCCAGGTACCGGCGTGGCATATGTGAACCTCTCCATAGGCAGCGAAACTGTCCGCTGGGTGCAGAAGTGGCCTGGACGATTCCAGGCGAACGAAAACAAAGTTCCGACGGTAGTTGTCTACCCAATTGGCTCCAAGGATCCGTCATCATGGGGCTTTCTCTCGGAGACCGCTGCAGAGACCGCGGCCGACGACAAGGAGTACAAGGAGTGGTTCAAGACATGCCTCGATCCAGAGAAGCTCCGCCGAAAGCAAATGGAAGATCCAGAAGGCGCACCCGAAAACCTACAGGAGGTTGAGAAGTGGTATGGAGACTATCTGCGGAAGATGTACGAGTACTTGTCGTTCAAGCTTGGCGGGGAGCTTTCTGGCATCGGCTGGGAAGAGGCTAGGATTGAGTTCATATTCAGCGTGCCGACCACATGGGCTCCGATGCCAACAGTGGAGAACTTCAAACGGCTGGTGAAAGAGGCAGGCTATGGGACGCATCCGCACCACGAAGTGGCGATAGGTCTTACGGAAGCCGAAGCCGCTGCGGTACATGTATCCACTGAAGCACCAGGCATTTTCCGCGAGAACGATGTCTTGCTAGTCTGTGACGCCGGAGGTGGGACAACCGATCTTAGCGTGCTGAAAGTCACTGGCACTGTCAACCAGGCTATCGATCTTCAGCAGATGGACGTTGTGTTTGGCGAGACCATCGGATCCGCTGCGATCGATTATGAGTTCGAGAGGCTGGTGATGCATCGGTTGACGCTCGCACACAGTACAAATCCTCTACCGGTCGACCCTGCGGATGCCGGATGGGAGATGATGAAAAGTCGAGACTTCCAAGCCGTGAAGTGTGAGTATGGCGCCCCAGACGACACACCATTGTTCAGTATAGGAATACCGCGCGTTCCGCAAACGTACAGCAACTCTGATCCGGAAGTTCGAATTCGCAACGGTGAAATGACGTTTGAACGGCAAGACCTGCAGCGCCTGTTCGATAAGCAGATCGCGAAGCTGTTCAAGCTCATCGACACGCAGCTGCAATCACTTTTTCAGAAGTTCCCAAGAGAGCATGTGGCGCATCTTGTTCTCAGTGGTGGACTCGGCAACAGCGCATATGTGCAGTCGCAGCTCCGAAAGTACTATGCGCGCACCTCCTTCCCGAATGCCGAGTCGATCTCCGTGAGCATAGCGCCTGACCCTCAACTCGCTGTGTGCAAAGGCCTTGTTAGCGATCGTATGCGAAAGATCCTGACATCGCGATCGGTCCTCGGATGGCGTTGTTGTCGAGCGTCGTATGGCACTGTGTGCAAGATTGCGTATGACAAGAAGAACCCTGAGCATCAAGGGAAGGAACTTGTTCGAGACCCGCTGAACAACAAGCTGTACATCACGCAGTCGATAGCGTGGTTCGTCAAGAAGGGCGCGCCAGTAAGCGTGGACAAACCGATCGAGCATAACTTCATCAAGAAGGTCGACCCGGGCGATCCAAGAAGGGCATTTCCGACGACTGTCATCGAGAGTGACTTGGATGCGGCGATCTTGCCAGATCAAATGAACCAATGTATGTGTACAAAAGCTCGGCCGCTCCACTCGTACCCGTGAGCAACTTTCTGACAGCTCGCAGACACGCGCATCCTTTGCGAAATAAATTCAGACCTCTCTGCAGCGGATGAGAAGAAATTCCAAGAGAAGAACAAGCACTTCTGGTCGTTGCAGAAGCACTATCTGCGCATCGAGTACTCAGTACGCGTTCTGATCGGGCCCGCAGACATCCGCTTCGAGTTGTGGTTTGACGACCAGAAACTTAGTCGCGATGAGTCGATCAGAGTAGAATGGATGCCTGCGCAGATGCCGCAAACGTCTCAGATCGCCGAGATGTCCGGGGCGGAGAGAGAGGCTGTTGAGATGTCCAACACGCCGCCCACGCCCATAGGCGCTGCGCCCCCAAGTGGCGCATTCAAGACTGATCCGAATGCGAAAGCCATAAGGACAGGTGGTTTCGCGGTCGTCAATAAAAGGGCTACTGTTGAGATGGGCAAGAAGCCAAGAGGAGTGGGTGGGCTATTTGGGAAGAGCTCTTTCTTTGGACGCGCTGCGTAGGATGACGCCCTGGAGCTCTGGCCGCGACGGCGCGAAAATGACGCGGTGCGCATCGGCGCGGAAGGCAGCTTCCGATGGCTTCGTAGCTGACAGCACTAATTAATACCTTCAACCTACATCCTCCTCATCGAGCACGTGATACCAGGCTCTCTTGTTTGACTGGTCGCTATGTTGCGAACAGGTGAGGAGCCACTCAGCTCTAAGCCGGCCATCGCCCCGGTCACTTGCCTGTCTTGTGTTAATGTTGCACCCATTGCGCTTTCAGCCCGTCAGCCTCGTCAGCCTTGACGGCAGGCAACGAGGTCACCGTCTACTTATAAGTATGGCGCACAACAGATCTGGTTCTTGGTCAATACTTCTCAGTTTTCTCTCTTTCTGGTCATAACAACTAATATCATGCGCTACCTCCCGTTCCTTGGTAAGAGGCCTGTATCACAGTTCTGATCACAACTGACGTAGTTGAAGCTACCGCATGCGGTCTGATCGCATCTATCGCAGCATTCGATATCTCACCGCAAGAGGTACTAGAATCGAACACGCCCAAATTCTTGACTGAAGCAATCGATCCTTGCTCGTTGGCCGACTCCCCAAAAGCAAATGCGAGCGTTCAGCTTAGCAATTGGTTAGAATGCGCTGTCAATGGTATGTACAAAAGACAATATGCTCGAGACCTCATTATGCTAATACAGGAACAGGGTTCTATCCATACCCTGCGAACACGAATTGGCCCAACGGCCATGCGAAATCATTCTCGAAAGACATCAAGTTCACCTTCAACGACACGCATTACGACTTCGATGGCTCACGGCGACTCTATACGATCTTCAATGCGACACTGGGCATGACCTTCGCGCCTTTCAAGCATGGCTTCATCAACACCCTTGGTGTGCCCGACATAAATGGCGATAAAGGTGGCTTCGTATACATGATTGGGTGGGCCGGTGGTTTCCAGACCCGCGTCAAACGCGACTTGTACTTCACAAACGCAGCATTCGCGGTAGTCAAAGAGGAGGACGGAGAAAGGAAGATTGTTGAGTTCCGAGAGAGCGGCAACATTCCCAACACGGCACCACTGCCAGAGCCTGTCCAGTGGGGATGCTCCTTCGAGTAGCACACTCAGCGGCACCCATTTAAGGCTTCCAGCAAGGAAGCGCAGAAGCAAGGAGTTTGCACATGGCATCTGGCAGAGCTGCTGTTTCCTTGACGACAACGCGGCATCCTCGCACCTGAGCATCTTTCGCGATGCCCCTATCCGACATAACCCCTCCTCACTTCCGCCATCTGTTTCTGCAGACCGTCCATCTTCTTGATCAATCGATTGAGAAACTCGTTCCTGTTCTCTTTCTCTGTGTCACCTCTGCCGTTGTTGATCCAGTCACAGATCCGTTCATCGTCTAGCAACTCGCTTTTCCGCTCCATGACCTCCAGGTTTGCCTCCATTTTCTCGGTGTGTGAGCGGATAAGATCGACACAGTCTTGCTGCTTTGTGACTGACTCGATAGCTGCAAATTCTTCGTCTAACTGCTTGAGCAAGTAAAGACTTGTCAATACGCGGTCGGCTCGATCCTCGAGGTCAATTAACATGGATGTCAGGTCTCGCGGTTGGCGGTCTTGAGGGTTATGAGCGTCGCCCATTGTGCTGACTTTTGCTGCTGTAGTTTTGAACATGTTTCGCATATCTTTTCTTGCTGACCTGCTTTTGTAAACCAGGGCGTGAAGGAAGAAGCTGGTTTAGACATCATGGGTGGATAATCACACATTCGAATATGTGAGTCGCGGGGCATCATTGTAGGATGACAATCACGTTTAGTCGTACTCTGTTCATTACTCAACCACTAGCCTACTGACATTTCATACTGTCAGCTTCACATTGTTTCGGACTTGGCTTACAGCTCAAAGCTGAACACCCGGATTGGAATGCAGCCTCTAGGGACACATTGACCAGTCGAACTCTCCCTCTTCGAACCCGTATCTCACATCTGCCCTGACTTCTTTCACCTTCTCCTCGATCATCTCCAAACTCTCTTTTAAATCCTGCTTGTCCTCCTTGGCGATTTCCAATGCGCGTTGCGGCGACTTCCCGCCCACAACATAAGTGCCTGCGATATCCGTGATATCGATGCTGTTCACGAGCCTCCGATATTGCTCCACATCCTGCTCCAGCATCTCCAGTTCGGCTTTGATAGAGGCCACGGCACCAGCGCGGTCGGTGGCGAGAATGTCAGACTTTGCTTCGTGATGCAGGTGTGCGATTTTCGACCAGCGGTTTATGATCTTGTCGTAATGTGAGGGAAGGATTTCCCAAAAGGTGGTAGAGAGAAGTGTGGCCCGAGGTGTTGGGTGTGGTGTTGACATGACGGCGGAGATGACTGATGCTCTATTTCGGGTGGACGCGCAAGCCGTGGTTTTGTAGAAGCATGCATCGTCTCGGGATGACGGCGCCTCAACAGTAGATAAGACTTCACAACAACAACAGCGACGTGTTTGCTTTTTGTTGAAGGCGGTGTACGCGAGGATTCTGTAAGGGACGGTGTCCATGCTTCTGTTCTTTGTCGGGTCATTTTGATGTTGGCCGTGACACGCTTTGACTTGTTGCCGGCTCGTCACGTCTTCTGGGTCACAGCTTGGGTGTGACTGTTTGCGCACAGGACAGCACGGTACAGTCATAGTCTTCTACAAAACCATCGCAGGAATTTTGTAGATCGTTCACGTACTATTCAAAACCTAAGGTACTTGATCACGATGACGAGCAGAAACTACGCCACCTACGATGCATTCTCCACGTTCGAGATGCTCAATAAAGTCATTAAAGAGTCCGGTGACTCTGAGAAACAGATACTCACCAAGCTCAAGGCTATCAAAGAGGAGATGAAGAGAGTGTCAAACTTGCCGAGTGAAGTCGCTGTCAAGCCGGTCACCAGCAGTACGTCTAATACCACGATAGAATTGTGTAGTACTGATTGTGCCATCAGTCGAGCTCGTTCAACAGACGAATGCCACAAAGCTCATCAAGAAGCTAGATCAAACCTTCACACATCAGAGTATTGGCGAACATCTCAAGCACGTTATTCGCATAAACACCGACCGACACCTACAGGGAAAATTCGCTGGTAACTACGATATATTGTGCGGATACGGAACTGTCGAAAAGACCAGAAGCGTTAGGAGTCTCGACGCAAGCATGCTTCGAAACATTCACGGAGCTATCAATACAGCCAAAGCAGCAGTCGCAGGTTTTGATGAAGACCCATCGGGATGGATCTTGCGGGAAGATATCCATATACTGCTGCAGCATTTGAAGTTCGAAGAAGGCGAAAGGGAACGGCTTCAGAAAGACTTGACGGATGCCTGGATGAGAGCGCGGAGAGCGCAGGCGGCCCTGAGTGGCTTAGATCAAATGTTTGGCGAACTATACGGGGACAAGTGGAAAAATGATGAAGATGCAGCTGAGTGCGACTAGCGATGCGGACTAAAATACATGAGTTGCTGCACTGCGCTCTTGTTTTAGAGGCGTTAATAATGCACCTTCTATGGGCCTATTGAATGGGATGAACCGCTGCCTGGCCGTGTTCACACGGGCGATAACCATGGCATCATCGTATGATCACAGACTCTGAATCACACGCGTGCCCATGAGTAGTCGTGACTGTGGAGGGCTATGAATACGATCTTAGGTTACTGGCGGAGTTGGGTAAGCGTTTGCATGATGCGCAGTTACGCCTAGCTTCACATGAATTAGGTATGTCTATGAGTACCAGACTTCTCTGAAGCATACTCTACCTGCAGATCCACGAGAACTGAGCTTTTCCTCCTTTGCTATCACTGCTCTCCATACAATTGGACACGATTTTGCACAAAGTCAAATCGAATAATGACTAACATACGAGAAGACCAAGCGCGCGAAGCGCGCGGAGACTTTTCTTCAGAATTCGAAGATCTAGTCTACAAGATCAGCGAGCTGAAGAGGACCATTAGTGGCAAGCTAGAGGAAGTTGACGCCCTCTGGAACGGCTTCATGGAAGCCACACCGGGTACAGCAGAAGAACGCAAGTCAGTTGGGCGAGTGCGGGAGATAGTCGCAGATATGGAAAGGCGGTACCAGGAGATTGATACTCATTACGGCTGGATATTGGCGTCAGATCGCGAACTTAGGGATGAGGCACTTTGTTTGTACTTTGGAAAAAAGTTAGACGGCAAGGTTTGGATGAAGAGATCTATCAGGATGCTGAACATGACCCGTCGTATACTAGAGATGAGCCAGCAGCGCGTCTTTTGATAGACAACCCCATATATCGCACGCGCATCACCCAATTCCGAAGCTCAATCTAGAAGTACTTTCCCGAAGTCATACCCAGCAAGCCCCAAAGCGCAACCACACCCTGATACGTCGCACGCATTCTAGCAGATCCTGGAGACCCTTCCTTCGCACATACCACACCGTCAATGATTGCCATCCATCCAATGCAAGCAAGTAGTGTGTCCATGGCTTCCAAATGGCCCCCGAAATAAATTCCCCAGATCGCCATACCAATAGTGGTAACGCGCGAACCTTCGATCTTGATCAAAGGCCACGCTGCCTTAGAAGATGCGATGCTTTTGGAGAGACCGTATGTCAGGATAGCTTGTTCGGGCCCATGAGTAAAAGACATCAGCCCGCCGGCTGTCCAGATGCTGGCGAGAAGGAGAGGCGGGACGTGCCTGGGTACGAAATGCTCGAACATGATTGATAGCGATGTCAGAAGCTGGCAGGCGAGCCGATATATGTACAAGACGTTTTTTAAATAGGGTAGGATTCTCTCGATTTCTTGAATATAGCGCGTTCGTGTAAAGGCATATAGGCAATTCAAATGTAGTGTGAGTGCGACGCTCGAGTCGAAAGTGACAGAAACAAGTTCGTTACAGTGGCTTGGTGGGAGGAACGGGGCGCCTGAAGCTTGTGACGTGTCTAGCGCAGGGCGTAACTGTGCTGTTAAATATAGACAACCAGAGTGTAAGTACAGGGAAAGGCCGACGGCGAGCCAGTAGAGAAATCAGCCTCCACTCGCGATGTATCGAGGTCGATAAAGATATTGTCATAGTGCTGTGACCCAACCGGTGCTGCTTTTCCGGGTCCTTAAGGCTCTCGTTTTCTAGCAGCGATGCCTAATTGGAGGAGACAGGAGCGAGCGCCGATAGAGCACCATCTTCTAGCCCGACACCGCTACAGCGATATGCCATAGCCGTCGTCATGATCCCCTGCGAGTGCTGCTCAAGGTTGGCGTTGTTGTCTTTCCAATGCGGCAAATCCATAGTATCTTTAAATGCTGATTCCCGCCCCGCAGCGTCCGGCTCAGACTCCTTGTCTACGGAGCAGGCAGGCGTGAAATATGTGGAAGGCGGGACAAGTATGGATTTTGCCAAGATCCAGCAGCTGACTACGAAATGATAGTTCGCGACTCGGAAGTCTCCAAGTAATGTGGACTGGGAAGGTTGCCATGCCAATTGGAAATGCATCTGTACATGGCTGATACCATACGACGCTTCCTGCAAGTCTTGTAACGCCTGGAGGTGAGCTTCTTCCTCGATGAGAGTAATTGCACCAGAGCGTAGCTGAAGTCGCGCTGAAAGACGTAGAAGGTGAACCGCGTCATTATCTGTGACATGGCGAATGAGTTTTTGTTGAGTATCGTTCAGCGTGATGTTCACAGAGTCTGTGAATAGACCCACAAAGTCTGTGAATGAGTCCGGAGAGTCTCCTACGTTATCCAAGGAGCCAGCGAAAGAGTCCATAGAATTTGTATCGCTATGCGGTTCATAATGCCCGGTAATGCCGAACACGGTAATATTGCGCGCCTTCTCGATCGACAAGATGCTGGACATGTGCGATGTCGATCCGTGAAACGGGGTCGTGTATTCATTGCCGTCACCAACACTGAACTCTGCCACTTGATAGAAGAAGTGAAGCGCCTCCTCTTGAATCTGAGGATGTATGGTCACCCATGCTGGAAGGGTCTGGATCTGTTCGCAAAGTTCATCGCAGTCTAGATACCGCGCGTTGACAGCGCCAGCGAGGCAAAAGTCGTCCTGATAGTAGATATGCGTTCCTTGCCAAGCGTACTCATAGATCTGATCGCGCAGTTCCCTCGGTAGCATCAAAATTAGGTTGGAACAGTCTTTCAATTGATTCTTTCGAGAGATGTCTTCATCGTGGCGATCCCGTGCGGATACATGGCTGTTGCGCGGTCGTGTCCTTTGGCTGCGAAGCTAGCTAAGTGTGTATACTGATGCCTTAGGTATCGTTCGTGGCGTGCACCTGCGTAACTTCTCCAGTAGCCGATAGGGTAGCGATGTGAGATGATGCCGCGCATGGGGCTGCAGCGATTCCGGTGGATCTCGAGCCGCCATAGCTTTGCAATATGCGTTCGAAGGGGTATGTTTGCAGTATTCTAAATGGAAGTATTCCCATCATAGTAGCCACACTTACGATAACTTGCTCTGAGTGCAGCCAGGAGAAATCTCAACCCTTGTCGAAGAGCGAGGGCAAGATTGCGCGGCGCTCGCGATCCACAGCTCTACCCATGGAACGTTGAGGGGTGCAAGCAACCATGCCACCAATCGATCTCAGCCCGTTGTAATGGAATTGGTACATTGATGTATGCAGTGCACAAGACCGTCATCGTCCATCTCGAAGGCCGATCTTGCTGCCGATGGACTAAAGTCCGCGGCGTCCGATAACTTTCGACGCGTTGTTGTCGCACGCTGACGAAAGGGTGCGATGAGAGAAAAAATTGGTGCAATGATTGTGTCAAAGCTGGGGATGGATATCTCGCGTGAACGCGTAAACGCCTGTGGCGTCATGACCGTGTTCTAGCGCGTGAGATGACGTCACTGGCCAACAAAGAGGTTTGCAAAGACCAGCTCCGTTTCGTTCTAGAAAGCGCACTGGTATGAAGACTTATTCTGAATTACATACAAAGACCTGACCTTGATACTGGCTTTTACATTCCCAAAGAATACCCTAGCAGGCACTCACCCTGCAAGCTCGCAGGCTTCACTCGTCGATCACTCCGCAGTCAGATCCGAAGGTGTCGCAACACTCCGGATGCTCAGGGGTGCATGCTGTAGTGCGTGTATACAACGAAGCCCTTCCGCACTCGGTCACGATTTTACCAGAACTCGAGAAGCCTTCGTCTTTCACACCTGCCCATCATGTCAGCGCAAGTCGACGCTCAGTTCGGCTTTCCAGACTTACAGTCAGAAGATTCTAGGAAGGGCGCGAATGCGGCCCTGCAGTCAAGTGGGCAGTCGGAAACCCCGTCCGGTATCTGGCTCCATCGGAGGCTGAAGACAAATCCAGTTATATCGTCGTATGACCAGTGCCATTCTTTGTCGAGCCGGTTGTCAAACTTGTCACATGCAGTGTCAATCCAGCTGGGTAACAATTAGCAATTTGTACTGGGCTGGACTTTGTGAGTCGGCTTACCCTTCAAAGCTGGATCTGGGGTCAAAGGTCTGTGAAGAACCCGGATTCGGGGGACCTAACGTCCCTTCATCAAACCTTTGCAGATTGCTCTTGCATTCAGCTTCAAGCACAGGCTCTTTGGCTCGCTTGATGAGCTCTTCGAGCCATGCGTATTGCGCATCCATGTATCCTTTCGGCACCTCGTACACGTAGGGATATTCGACAACTTCGCATCTGCATCCGAAATTCTTGGGCTGCGTGCACTACTGTCAGCGAAGCGACCACGTGGGTTATGTTACATACCGTGCGACATATGGGCGTCGAAGGGGTACTTGAACTGACCATCCAACTCAGACGTTCGGTGACCTCGTCTTGGCCCTTACAGTCATCGAGTGTGCATATGAGATCTTTAGCACATGTTAGGTCCTCCTCCTTTAGATCAGTGATGATATCACTCTTGCTGACGAATATGTCGAGGAGAGTCTGACCAACGAGCATAGCCGCATGTGCAGCGATGGCGAGACTTAGCGCACTTCTAGCGAGGACGGAGGGGTCCCAATTCAGGTCAGGCTGAGGGGCTGGCGCGGTTGCAGTGAAGACCTGGCGATATAGCCGAACGATAACTACGGATTCGCCGATGGAGATATCAGGAATCGGAAACCCAATGGCTTGACCAACAGCTGGTTCAATCGGAATATTCGCCTGAGCCAAGGCCATTAGGTTGTCTGGGCCGGTATCCGCAAGGTCCATAGCATGGCGTAAAATACGTTCGATGCACTCCTCAGTAGTATCAGCGCGCTTCAGGTCCTGGCCCTGACAGATCTGCTGGGTCTCTTCAAGGCCGGTCATCCCCAAGAAGTCCTGGATGCGTCCGGCCGTTCCTTCGGGAATATGATACACAATATCTCCGGCTTCGTGTCCGTCACTGGCTGTAGTGAGCGTTTCGATGCTGATAAGACTCCTAGAGAAACTATCAGTATTTTGCAGACCATGATCAGATATTGGCTGCTTACGTCGGCGTGATCGTCGCGGGGGGTCGAATTGTTAAAGTAGCTGCGATAGCGCTGGCATCGGCGGCCGTCACGATAGCAATTTCTTGAGCACCGGCCATCGATTGAATCTGCCGGAGATCCTCTGGGGGGAGCTTTATCGCTTTGCCCAGGTCTTGGTTGTACTCGTAGGCTATTGTGGATAACACCCATCCTGCCAGAAGCCAGAGAACCCAAGGTGCAACGGGAATGAAGCGTTTGACGTGAGTAGATACCCCAGTCTTCTGTATCACACTGTTGATTGCGTCGCGACATTCTTCAGCTGGTTTATTGTTACAGCTTTCGGCGCGAACAGTCTTCATTTGTTCGTGTATCTCCGGACCGAACGCGACAGTGATCCCGTCAGCTGGGAAAGTGTCGTAGACCCCGGTAGGATACACCTGGACTTCGGATCCCGATGGCTCCGGGCCAGCGGCCTGTGTGTAGAGTTTAGCATCGTTCAAAAGGAAAGCGAATCGATACATACCGTGCTTGGAAAGTACGCATCCTCGGGGCCCAATGTGAACGTTGGAAGAGCAGAGCTGTCTTCTCTACGCGAAGGAGGCTTTAACGTTGGATACGGTAGTCCAGTAAATGTTCCCAAGACTCGAGCTGAAGCGATTCGGAAAGTGAGGGATAGCGCGAGCAAGTTGAGGAAAGACATTGCGACTGTGGAGAAATAGTTTGACTGCTGGTCATTTCTTGCAGATGGTGGAGCTTATGTATGGAGATCTCACGGTTCCAGCGCCTTATCTAGCAACCAAATATCCCGTTCGAGACACCATGTCGTTTTCTCATCGCCCCAAGCGGCATCGCGATATCCGGAGAGGCACAGCAAAGACAGACCCCGTCTGTGAACATTCCCCTTGAGGCACAGCTATTGGTACTCGCACCCGAAGAAGAAGGGTCTCGAATTAGAAGGTGGCCGAGGACCAGGCGGCGACTATGGACACATTTCGAGTTGGGGAAGTCGACATGAAACACCATTGACCAGGCACGCGAAAGTTGGGAAGCCTCGCTAATGCTCGGTATGCGGCGGAGTGCAGAAGTTGAGCGGCTGGGGCCGAGGAATGTATTCAACGTGTCGCGAGTTTGACGAGTTCTTGGGGCTGGGGGCTGGTTCTCCTGTATGATGCATCAAAAACTGTTGTTGTTCATCACGACTGGGAAGGAAGCGAACTGTGCCACGTGAAGCGCCCCCACGAATAGCAGCGTAGGTGCTTACTACCCGACGTGCGAAGCACACAACATGAGGAGCGGCCGTGAGGCTGCTTCATCGTGTCAAATAATTGAGAATAGAACGACATGCGATATGGGGCGAGATGGCAGCGGCGCGGGTCTCGCTGCTGCATCGCTCCATGGCATGTCAAGGGTATTGCCAGAACAATGTGCGTATTTAAGCAGCTTGTACAAAGGCTTCGTCGCAGATAGCATATTTCTATTCCACGTTCTAAACAACCAATCTGATTGCCCAACAAACTCGATGATGTTCAACATCCGATTACACCTCTCGTTCTTTTTAGCGTTCCACGCTATCATGTCGTCTTTTGTTCAAGCATACAAAATCGACCAGTCCTGTGATGCCAAAGGTGTTACGGTGGACGTCCGTAACGCGATGACTTCGGCTTTCGAGATGGTATCCGCAGCATACGAGACTCTGACGCAACCTCCCCTGAGCTCTGATGCGCAGGACCTGGTTGGATTCCTATTCGCAAGGGAAGGAGCAAATCCCGCTCAGCTTCTCCAGCAAGGCAAGCTAGAGAAGACCATCACATTGTTGAGAAACATTCGGACATACATGTCAACAGAGGTGACGGGCGACGCAACTGTCAGCGCTTCGGATGTGGTAAGAGAACCCGGAATGTTTTGCTTGGCTTATGCTGATATATCATCTTCCAGATCATCTTCTGTCACTACGATCGCTGGGTACAACTTGAAGGGCACAAGGACCTCTGGGAAGATACCAGTACGCGTGATAGTTGGTAGTGTTATAGCCATAGACTGACCGAGCATAGCAAACGGATACAAACTGAAATTCAATGAGCAACAATGCAGAGGTTCGATACTCGATAACGTTGCTTTAGCAGTGTCAGCCAACCTTCCAGCGAAGCAGATTGAACAAGAAATAGCGAACACAGGGGTGTTTAAAACGACAACCGTTAGACGGCCAGCACAGATTCAGCTCTGCTCATGGTTCGTGGACTGGATCAAACAAAAGGAGTACAAAACCGCCGACGACGTCCAAAAGCGAACAAAGATTGGTAGAAAGATGATCAATAGGGCAGCATCGAACCGCATGACCTTTGGCTTAGGCCTGAACCAAATTGGTACGCTGTGCTCTGAGAACTCCAGGACGCAGACTGATCACAACAATCCTAGATGCCTACTCCTTGTTGGACAAAGTTCTTTTGCATGAGATGACACATGCTCGCGGTGCTTTCCAAGAATGGACCAAGAAAGGTGTGGTCGAAGGCATCAAAGACGTACTTACACCCAATGTCATCCTCAGGCCATTCAACTGGGCAGCGTACGGTTGGGAGGGTGTGGGAAAGCTTGCTCGTAAAGGCGGCGAGCTTAATACCCCCGGTGGACCAGACAACAATGCTGATACAATAGCTCTCTTCGGAAGCGGTACGTGAGCCGATTCCCATGCAACGACTGACTGCTGATCGATTTATAGCTTGTAAACTGATGAGAGACCCGCAAAACCCCCGCAAGGTCGACAGCAAAGGCCATATTGTTCCGGTGACATGATCGAGAGGATGGTGGCTCAGCTTGGAACTATATGCGATGGATACGGCTGGGCGAAGAGGAGAGACATTTCCCGTGTGATCGCATGTCATGAAACTCGGATTTGGGCGATTCATGACGAGAAGGTCCTCCAGTCATATTGTTTCGAGTGGCGCAATATGGTGAATGGGATACCACCAAGTCTTTGTATCGTTGTGTGAGGTAGTTCCAGATTCAATTCCACGAGGAACTCTTGAGCCCTTATCAGCTTGCATGCGCCAAGAACAAATATCACGGGCTCTTGATCTATGACTAGAGGATCGGAGTCATGGAGTTGATGTTTGTGCATGAAGGTGATCTCGAACCTGACGACGCGTAGCTCAAGCAAGTAACCGAGTATGTGACAACCTCTCTCCCATTCATAATAATTCTCTCCAGGCAATCGAAGCCCGTTGTTTTGTGTGATCATCAAACCGTACTTCGGAGTCAGGAAAGTCGTGGATATATGTAGCTTACGGAGCATATTCCAATTGGCCGGGGTTACGAGCGTACGGAAACTGGATGTTCCTGTCATGCCTCTGAAACTAAAGTAGTTGGCTTTGTACAGGACCTCCACCGCTTCACAGTAGCTATGGGTTCTAGTAAGTAGCTGAGAAGTGATTTGAGCGGCTGCCACTTACATCAGACGGCAAGTAAGAAGTAGCGATAGAAGATCACCGTTGGTGTAGTATGCGTCACGAACGTGCTGGAATTCGCCCTCATTCCATAAGCCGAAACATGCATGTTGCCATACCAAGCTTTCGCTCTGTGGTGTCTCGCAACGCCAATGACCTAGCTTTGCAGGTCGGCCCCCAATTGGGGTAACGTGTAAAGCGTGCAGCAGACGTTGCGGGTCGGCGAGGACCTCTTCGTAGATGAGCAGTCGCATTTCAGCCGACAGCTTCTGGAACAGCACACACTGCTTCTGATCTAGAGGCTCATCTCTCGGTAATTCAGGTCGCGTTATCAAGCTGGGGTCTCGGCCTGGTGTGAATGGCGTCGTCGGTTCGGGCTTTTTCCGCTGCCATTTTCGGAGCAACGCACGCATGGCGGCGTAGGCGGCGATGAAGAGGTGTCGCGACACAGCTCAAAATATCTTGAGAGAATTTGCGCAATCACGAAGGATCTGGCCGCAGATTGCAGGAGCTCAAAAGGTCTTGTTTGGGTCGTTGGGCTTTTTACTGTGCCCAGGTGGCTCGGGACGAGATTGCGGCACAGCAATGCAGCGTGCGAAGACCGAGGGCCGGCGCTTACATGCACATGCGTGCGGTATTAAGGCGGTAATCATAGCGTGGAATAGATTGTCGCGTCGGTGCGATGCGAACAAGATCCCGTATTGATGTACACGGGTGCGATGATGAGTTCCAGTGATGTTAGGGGAGGAAAGCTCCAAGACGCGTGCCGTCGAATGTAGACTAGCTCATTTTCTAGGACGCGTACACCCACCCATCGTCGCGTTTCTCCCTTCGCCCCCTTTCGATAACATGCACGCACGCGACGCCATTACTGCGAAGAGGCTATGCTATTCTCTTCCCACTCTGTTTAGTAACTTGATGACAACAGAAGTTCTTACGCGGATTAAGTTAGCTAGTAGTTGGAAGTGAAGAAGCATATGTTTTTGTAAAACAATTCTACCTAGGAAAACATGTAACTAATACAGAGGCTCCGCGGGAACGACTCCGCAGTGCGATGGTTGCTTGATCGTCGTCGCAACTACTTCATGTCGGCCATCCATGGGTGCTTCAGGAGTTCAGTCGCCGATTTCCTGTCTTCCGGCCGCCATCTGAGCATCGAGCGTATGAAATCGAGAAACAATTCCTTTTCCTCCCCTTCAAGCGCAGAGACTCTTTCCTCGAGTGAGATCTTAGGAATAGGTACACTCTTGGAGCCACCCGTCCAGTGTCCTATTGAACTTAGCAGAGTCTATGTCGGGACGATCTCGATGACTAACCTTGCTTGTCGAAGAGAATCTTTGTTATGTCGTTGCTTTGTGTGTATTCAAGCGGAGGCATTCCAAGGTATGCAACCATTTCGGAAACATGATGTGTCCCTGATGGGTTGCCCTCGGTGTCACGGGCGTCGAACAGATGCTCATCTTCAAACAAGTCCCACACCTAATCAAGGGTAAGTCATTGCGGCTTCCTTATGATAGTGTTGAATACTTACCAACGTGGCGAGACTCCAAATGTCCACCTTGGAGTCCCACTCCATCTGGAAAATTATCTCTGGTGCACGGTATAGCTCAGGCTGAATAAAGCCGGAGTGGGAATCTCCTATCCGCGCTTCTCCAAAGTCACAGAGAACTGGTCGGCCCCAAAGACCACCCGTAGGATGGGGAAGCTTACGGGAACTGTAAATGGTGCGTGCGTCGTCAATCACTTTGGATGGTGACGGGTTTTCTGCTTCAGCTTTCTCGAAGTTTTCCAGGATAGTGTTATCATTCACAGTCAGCATGATATTCCCAGGATTGATGTCTAACTGGTCAGTTGATTCAATTACGTTGCATTATCTTGCCGTACCTGTATGTACGACCTTAGCCTCGTCGTGTAAGAACGACAGTGCCTTTAGCACGTTGGCTAGCGTGAACTTTAGAAGCGGAACGTCGAGCTTGTGTGCTGGGTTGTAATACTGGAGCTGTCGAATAGTCATGTGCATGGGTGGATGAACAAAGCACAAGTGTTTGCCAGTCGGACCGTCGAGCTCAAATTCGCCATACAGTTCGCGGATGTATGCTTGGCCGCGATGCTGTGATTGTATAGAACTGACATGCTCGTAAAAGTCTAGCTCTCGATTGAGCTGTGGGGTCTTTTCGGCATCTCGGGTACAAATCTTGACAGCGACGAAGTCAGCGACGAAGCCAGCGTCTCGTTCTCTGTGCACAGATGATCAGAATTTGAAGGGTGGATGGGGGTGAAGAACGCCAAACATACTGAATATCCCGAATATCCCGACACAGCCAGACCGTGGAGTATGCACCGTAACCGAGTTTTCCTATAATCTTAAAGCTAGAATCGAGAATCTCACCAGGTCGTGCTGGATAAAACTGATCATGGCTATACCACGGAAGGCGCTCCTCCTCGAAGAGCTCGCTGGCACTCATTTTCGTACTCTGGAAGCGCGAAATTCGGGAAATGTGAGAGGGAAATTTGAAGCGACTACATGCGCGTTGCCCAAATCTCAGCATGGTGTAGAGACTTTATATAATTGTTGGAAGTTAGTGTGACGGTCCAAAGGCGGCATGCTGGCAGCACGGATGCCTAGCACAGTCAATGCCGCGTCTGTGCTCGTCGATCAATTGGCCAGCGGCAAAAACAACGCTAACAAAACAGGGTCCTGTCCTACCATCACACGGACTCTGTTTGTTACGCACCGACTAATCGAGAACTTCTCCAATGTTTGGACTCAGAGCACACGCGCGTCAACCTCACCCCACAATGTCTCATTCAGACTTAGTGTCACTTCTTCACAGCCACGTTCGGGATGTGAGCGAGTAACGGAGGATAGCGTGACACTCTTGCTATTCTAGCAAGTGTTGGATATCACTTGGAGTAAAGCTTCAAACAGTTGGGGCGCAGCATCAAGAGCTCAGTGTCGCGGTAGAGGAACAACCTTGGAAGAGTCATTGTTGTGGCAGAGCACCATAGGCTCAGTGTTGCGACAGAGCAACAAGAGTCATTGTTACGGCAGAGCACCATGAGCTCAGTTTTGTAGCAGAGCAACAACAGTCATTGTTGCAGCAGAGCACCAAGAGTCAGTGTTGCGGCAGAGCACTAAGAGTCAGTGTTGCAGCAGAGCACCATAAGCTCAGTGTTGCAGCAAAGCACTACAAGCTCAGTATCGCGGCAGAGCACTAAGAGTCAGTGTTGCAGCAGAGCACCATAAGCTTAGAGTCGAGCAAAGCACTAAGAGTCAGTGTTGCAGCAGAGCACCATGATCTCAGTGTTGCGAAGTCCAAGAACTGAGAGTATAAGAGTAGAGGCATCCTTCTATCAATCATGCTTCATCACATTCTCATCAATCAACATTCACTATCAAGCACATCACAACATCCTTCACTATCCACCCAATCGATACTAGTCCACCATCACAATTTCCAATATGCAAGCCTCATCCCGGAGACTCATTCAATACGTCGGCAAGGTCACCCTTGAACACCTCGATGCCGAGAGCGTGCCACTTGTCAAAGCATTCTGCGAAAAAACTGAAAAGGATGTATGTCGATACGCAGCGCTCGTGTAGCCAAAAACTTGCTTACACGACTTAGAAACCAGTCATCAAAAAGGCAGAGATTAAGGGAAGCAAGTGGCACCGGTCCCATGACGATCCAAACGATGAGAAGCTGGTCCTCTCTATTCGTTTCTTGGACGACAATGGCAAGAGAGTCACCACTGGCCATTTGCACAAGGATGGCACCAGCAATGTCTCGTAGTGCGAGTGACCTGGTTACATGAGCACACGTGGAGGATGGACGAGTATGCGAAGCATGCTTTTACCAATATCTCCATAGATGGCATTTTCTTTTCATGTTAGTACACAGTCTTTCCAGTTCCCCATATATTTGAGCCTACACGCGACAAAAATCGAACCTGTCATTACCGCTATCGATCTTGCTTTGTTTTTTATGCACAGTCTAATTCCTCATACGAGCCTTTACTATCAGGAAACGAGCTGACCCCGAGTGCGTGATCCTTCACATGAATACGTTTCAGCTCTTGAAGACCCATGCTCTTCAACACATCGTTTTATAGTGCTGATTTGTGTCTCTTCGATTTATCTGCCTAATTAGGGGTTCACTGCCTCTCGCTTGTAGGTGTTTGCAAGGTATGACTTGAGCTTGCGTTTTGAACGTGTTTCATCGAGGATCTAGTAGCGATACACATGGGACTATGAGTATAACAAACTGGACGAGGGTCTCAGAGGATAATCATGGGTATAGTACCTAGGTAGAGTGATGGAGCGAAGAGGAATGGTTCAAGATCAATTTTCTAGATGTACTTCAACAAGACCCTGGCGCCGACGACTTCACAGTTATAACGTCTCCCACAGAACCATACTGGGACCAAGACAAACCATACCCATCATCGCTGCTACCATCTAATCAAACATCGATATATATAATCACCCACCAACCACCGCTTATCCCGCATCGCCAGTACATTGCGGCGGCGTGGGCAAAGTAACAGAAGTATTCTTCGGCCCTCTCACCGTACTCGTCGCATTCGGCACCACCTTCCTCGTCTGGCTCGACAGTGGCGGCAAGAACGTCGCACTCGACGGCGTCGGCAGTGCAATCGTAGCGCTCAGCGCACTGAAGCTCAACTGCGCAGCCGCTCTATTGGCAGTATACACACTGGCCTTCGTGGTCGTTGTGACGTTGCTGCATGAGAGCGACTGCACGTAGATGTAGTGCAGGGACCAGCAGTAGCTACATTGGATTGTAAGTGCGTGGGAAGTAGATGAAAAGTGTAACGGACTACCTAGGTATGTAATCATAAATTTGTGATACTTTAAACTCCGCAGCACCACACTTACGCTGGTTGTAGCCGGGGCGAGCGTACCTGCTGTAAGGCGTTGGGCTGCGTTGAGCGCGCATGTTGGTTAAATGAATAATTTGCTGAGCGTGCGGCTATTAGGTTCGCCCTTCGATTGCCCATGCGCGCAACAAGCTGCTACACCTAACAATCTACTCTACTAAAACACGCGTATAGGCACTGCAGTCTGTTAACCTTGGAATAGTCGATGTTACCCACGTGCCCTGGAGTGAACCAGCAACACCGACCACCCGGTTTCCGCCCACATACTTCCACCACGACTAACTCCCATCGCGTCCGCCGCAACCTCGCTTGACTCGATCCCAAAGACCCAGAAGGCGCCTCCGACAGTTCACGTTTAGCCTTAAAGCGGAGATACCGTTTCAGCCTCCAGCCAAGCGCGGAGCGGAAACGCCAAGGCAGCCTCCCACAAGTATAGCCGCATCCCTTACAGACCAAGAGGCCGGCCGTTGAGAAACAGGCATCACCAAGGCTGCGCGAGGCACGCGTCACTGACTCGTTCGCACGTGCGAGCTTGTCTTTGCCTCAGCCCAGATGTCGGGCCTGCATCCGCGCTCGCCTTGGCTGGCCGCCACAGGTATCTCCAAGACATCAGGATGCGAGGTGCGAAACATGTGTTGACGCGGAGCTGATAAGCTGGCTGGTTGGCTTTGGATGTGTTTAAAGATGAGGTGGACGTCGTGTAGGGCTTGGAATAGGCAGGCGATCTTCGCATTTTTTACACGTTCGAGACTGTTTTCAGTATGGCTGGTGACTCTTCGACTCCGGCGGCAGAAGGCTTTTTACAGTATCATGAGCCGAATAGTGGGTTCTTTACTTTCTTACAAGGTTTCTCAATCGCTAATCTTTGACAGTCATTCAGATTCTCGTCCTCGTTTCGTTTTTCTTTTGGCTTTCCTTCGGCGAATGGCTTTCGAACCGGGTGTTCCGCGCTGGTCTTATAGGCCAAATTATAGTTGGTCTGATCTACGGTTTACCTATCGGCGGTGATATGATACCAATCGCATGGCAGGAAGCCTTCATTGCGCTTGGATACATTGGGCTTGTTCTCATCATCTTTGAAGGCGCTCTGGCCGTCCGGTTGGATCTGCTCAAAGCGAACTTTGGCCTCTCTGCTATTGCGGCAACCATCGGTGTCGTCGCTCCTATTGGGCTCACATATCTACTTCTGTACGTCGGCTTTGGGTATGGAGCGATCGAAACATTCATCGTTGGGGCTGCGCTCTCGGTCACCTCTCTTGGGACAACCTTCGTGGTGCTAGGCAAAAGCTCGAAGGAGATCAGCTTTGCAGACACCCGAGTTGGTACAGTACTCGTCAGCGCGGCTGTATTCGATGATGTATCTGGTCTAGTGATGGCTAGGTATGACACGAAGTTCCCTACACCACAGAGCATCACTAACATCCCTCAGTGTCATCGGCCAACTCGGCGCCCTCGGAGGCGACGACTCCCCCAACCTAGGCTGGCTAATCGGACGCCCAACACTAGTATCCGGTCTCCTAGCCATCCTCACTCCCGTCCTAAACAAATGGGCAATCGCACCTCTATACCGAAGGTTCATCGAGCCACGCCTCCCTAAGACACGCAAACGCCACGTCGTAAACGTCATCATTATGATCTTCGTGCTATGTACTTTCCTGAGCATCACAGGCTTTGGCGGCACCTCCGTCCTCTACGGGTCCTTCATGGCCGGCGCATTTCTCACCTACCTCCCTTCCAAGCACCCAACTGGTCCTTTTCACCCGCCTTCGCGCGAAGATGCAGAGGAAGCGGAAGCGCGATCTATAGCCGAAGCCACCGAGTACGACGATGCGGGTGAACCGCTCATCTGTCCTACGTTCATGCATACGTTTGAGAAGTACTTCCTCGATGCTGTCAAGTACCTCTTGCAACCTCTCTTCTTCGCATCGATTGGCTTCGCCATCCCCTTCATCGATCTTTGGACTGCAGAGGCGTTCTGGAAGGGTTTTGTCTACACGTTGCTCATGCTTGTCTCGAAAGTCATCGTCGGCCTCGTCATACCTTTCGCTACCATCTTCCGCAGACCGCCAGGTATGTCTATCCGCGAGTGCTTCACCACCACATTCTGGCCCGCGATGCTCC